TATGATGCCAATTACAGGCCTCTCTCATCTTTTTAAGTGGGAGAACTTGCACAATAGGTGGCTGACTAAATACTTTTTTGCCCCACTGTATGTGCAAGGAGGAGGGATTATTGGAGATATGTGCAAGGAAAAATTATTAGGGGGGGGGTATGTGCAAGGAGGGGGGATCAGTGCAAGGCCAGCTACATACTGTGTAGATGGATGCTGTGTCTGTAAGAGAATCTGATCTCGGCTGTGTGCTCTGTGGTGTGGAGGAGATCTGAGTACCCAGGCTGTTTGCAGTGTGGGGAAGAGAGGAGGAGATCTGCTGAGTGCTCTGCCAGCAGTGACCCTGCTCTCTTCTCTGCCGACCAATGTCTTATGCCCTACTGACTCCTGTCCTCTGCACTGCTGACCTGACAACCCATTTTCTCCACCCTGCTGACCCTTGTCCTCTGTTCTAATAACCCTCTGTACACTGTCCTACAAACTAATGACCTCTGTAGACTGCCCTATAAACTGCTGACCCTATCCTCTGCTCTGCTGCCCCCCCTGTACACTTCCTACTGATCTCACATCCTTTCCCCCCCGAGATTTTTTTACTGCACCCCTACATCAGACAGTCTAGATCCGGCCTTGCTATCACCTGTATAAGGTGTGCCTGGACAGCCACAAGTCAGACAACAATTGGATAGGATCGCTTTTCTACGGAACTGTGTTTGTGCGTTGAGAAGACATTCAGTAAAGTTCATTAACTGTTTCCCAAGCCTGGTCTGAAGTTACTCAAAGGGGTGCATGAAGGTTAATGGCAATCACATGCACTGCGTCAGTTAAACAGGGTATGAAGCAAGTCTGTTACAAGGGAAAATTCAGCATCAAGAGTGGAGAAGAGAGAGTAGTTGACATAGATAACCAAGGACTGGTGTAAAAGTGTTTCAGCGGCCTGTTGTAATGCATGGTACCTGGATATGGTGAGGTGTCCTACGGTCCTGTGTATATTTAATTACTACACACAGTACACAGCTCATCTCTAAATTGGGGAGGGGGGCGCCTTAAGGTTGATTTCACCTGAACACAGCCTCCACCCAGGCTTGGGCATTGGTGTGTGTATACAAATGAAGAAAATATAGATGCCGCGCTCTATCAAGACCTATTACCTGTATATAGTATAAAAACTGTATTTGCATTAAATCTCTAATAGCTGCATGATCTCTTATGTGTAACCATACATGATTGTAATGCCAATCAATACCCAAACGTGTTGATAATAATGAATAAATGAAAAAATATATATCAAAATTGGTGATAATAAAAAAAAATTAATAAATAAAAGTCTGTGCAAAATTATTCAAATTTGTGTCCTTTGATGATTAAATAAATAATCCAATTAATAAACAAATATCAAAAATAAATATTGAAAAATATGGAAAATAAATAAAAGGTAAAAATTCAATGAATTTTGTGCAAAAACACAAAACAAACTTGGTGCAGAGTTCAGCAGGGATGAAATATCTGTGTGCTCGCCTTCCAATCAGCGTGAGGTGATGCAGGTGAAGGTTGCAGATACAGGGCTATTATGTAAGCCTGAATGGTCATATGGATCTCTCCCTCCTCAGATCTTTCCTTGATCCAGCCCTTTAAGCATTCCTCATACGGATCATGTAAACAGAGAAAAGTGCATAGTGCTTTATCGTTGATAAAACTAAACACTTTAATATGCGCTCATTATGCACTCACATTGATTAAAAACAATCTGCACTTTGTATAATAGCCGCTTAAAGCGGTGAAGACCAGCTTCTCGGGTGTGCTCGCATACGCTACCAGTGCTCGCCGTGTAAGGATGCGTAGTGATGTCCCTGCCCCTCCCCAACGCGTATCTCCACAAATTCATTGAATTTTTACCTTTTATTTATTTCCCATATTTTTCAATATTTATTTTTGATATTTATTTATTAATTGGATTATTTATTTAATCATCGAAGGACACAAATTTGAATAATTTTGCACAGACTTTTATTTTTTGGGTTTTTTGGGGGGGGGTTTTCAGTTTTTTTTTATTATCACCAATTTTGATATATATTTTTTCATTTATTCATTATTATCAACACATGTTTGGGTATTGATTGGCATTACAATCATGTATGGTTACACATAAGAGATCATGCAGCTATTAGAGATTTAATGCAAATACAGTTTTTATACTATATACAGGTAATAGGTCTTGATAGAGTGCGGCATCTATATTTTCTTCATTTGTATGCACTGATAACTCACATTTATGAGGGTGAGCAAGATAGCCTACGATCTTATTGATAGAAGCCATTTATTATACACCTTATTGGGTCACAAGTAAAAAATGTTTTATATTCAGTTATTGGTGTGTACACACAGAAAGGTACCCCATGTGCAGGATGAGTGACCCCGTTCATTGCTTGATATAGCCCAAGAACCCTGTGGGCTTACAACCTGGAGTACTTGGCAAGGATGCGCTCACTCCATACTGCCCACAAACTTTTAATTTGTTTTAGTGGTTTTTGCTACCTCATCTATCTTCAGTAGCTTGCCTGTCTTTTTCATCATCTCATATACCCGGTTTGAGTATAATGTAAACCCCTCCCACCCACAAGGAAGGAAGCAAGGAAGTACTGCTGGAAGTGGGCTATTAGTAAGCAAGAAAAATAATAGTTGTTGTAGCAATATTAGTGGCCATAACAATATTTTATATTATTACATACAGTATTTGTTAATACTCCTGCACACAATTAGTCTATAGCCGTTTTACAAACTTCTTGAAACGTTAACCTTTTTTACAGAACTAAAACAACTTTTTTGTCATCTTTTAACTGAGGATTTTTCCAGCTTGAGTGAAACTGTGTTAAGCACTCAGGGCTAATTTCAGTGCTGGCTGGGATGAACAGGGGGTCAGAATGGTTTCCAGGCACTTAACATTTTCAGAAGAATGGTGGGGCTTAAAGTTATGAAAGATTGTAGACTGCAAAGATTTTTAGGTGTCAACCCAAACTGTCATGTAAAGATCAGTCATCTAACATATATGTACTGTACGTTGCTCCACGCATGTTGTACAGTCTCAAGAAATATATAAGCTCAAACATGTATCAGTGCACAGTAATCTGAAGACTGTTATTGTGCATAACCAGTATCTGCTTTGGCTTAGCAGTCTATGATGGCCACAAGTGGTCACCAAATAAAGGTGACAATATAGTTGATATTTGGTGTACTTCCTTAGATAAAGGGAAAAAAGGAGACAGAGGCAGCGGGAGTTCCTTATGATGTAGTAGTTTGACAGATAATTGGATGAAATAATGAAAAGGTAAATTGCAATGGTGTACTCACATCAGTGAGGTTGCTGAGCTCCCTAATGGGGGATCAGACAACCTGGAATGAAAGCCTCCTGCAGGGAATATGTTTGTCCTTGCACAGAGTAAGGTCGTTCTCGATACTCGGTGTGGTGATCTGGATGATCCTGCACTCTGCGGTCTCAGGATTCCGGTGTGTTCACAATAAGATGTTTATGAGCCCCTAAAGGTGAGAAACTGGTGTCAGCAGAGGAGCCCAAATATGAAGGAGAAGCTGAGAAGTGGATTCTTCATTGATTCAATATTTATTGCTCACAGAATAATATAAAACACCATCAATGTGTTTCGTTGCACTTCCTTAGGATGGTGCATAAAACACTGATAACCAAAAACACAGATGTAGGTAAAAAGATATATATAAAATGTATGTGTGTGTTTGTATTTATGTTATCTCTTACAATGGTTATTAACCGCTTAAGGACCACCCTATAGCAGATATACTGCTACAGGGCAGCACCTGTGCGCAGAATCAAGTATATATACGTGATTTTGCATTTCCGGGTAGGGGGAGCTCTACCCGCACCGCCATTTGCGGCCGCGGATGTCAATCACCAGATCCCGGCCGGTAATTACCCGCCAGCGCCCAGTGATTACCGAGTATCTCCGATGGGGAGGAAGATTGTTTTGTTTACAAATAATCTTCCTGCATGTCAGCTTGAGCACGCTGATTGACATGGCTGTGCACAGTACAGCCACCACGGATCAGTGTGCTTACAGTGAAGAACACACCCCCTAGTAAAACACTTCCAGCACACAGTTAACGCTTTGATGGCCCCTCACATTAACCCCTTCCTGCCCAGTGCCATTAGTACAGTGTCATTGCTTTTTTTTAGCACTGATCACTGTATTGGTGTCACTGGGGTGTCAATGACACCAAGTTAGTTCCTCCCCATGACAGAATGTCCTCCGCAGTCTCGCAGTCCCGCTAAAAGTCACTGATTGCCACCATTACTAGTAGAAAAAAAAATACCATTATCTATACCGCCATTTGTAAATGCTATAACTTTCATGTAAACCAATTAATTTACACGTATTGGGATTTTTTTTAGCAAAGACATGTCACAGAATACAATTTGGCCTAAATTTATGATGAAATTTGATTTTTTTTTAGATTTTTTTTACTGGACATGTTTAATAGCAAAAAGTCCAAAATAGTTTTTTTCTCAAAATTGTCGGTCTTTTTTTGCTTATAGCGCAAAAAAAATAAAAACCGCATAGGCGATCAAATACCACAGAAAGAAAGCTCAATTTGTGGGAAAAAAAGGAAATAAATTTCATTTAGGTGCAGCATTGCATGACCGTGCAATTGTCAGAAAATGACCTGGTCATGAAGGTGGGGGTAGGAGGGCAAGTGGTTAAATTCAAATGATCAAACATCAATAATACTCCATAGGTTCACATGGTAGTCAGAAAAACAGTCTGACAAACTATGATCAATATGTAAACGAAAAGGTAATATAATAATAATTTAAAATTTCTACATGAAATATAAAAATGTGATCACTCTAAAAAAAAAAACAAACAACAATATAATTGATAGGTACTGTTAAAAGATGGTTGTTGAAGAGCAAGTAAAGTTAAATTACATCTATATAAAGCATTTCCAGGCATATATACAAATGTTTAAGGATTCTGTCAGACCTTAAAGTGTTACTAAACCCATAACAGTAAAATCAGTCTGTATATGCAGTAAAGCATGCTTGTTATACTCACTGTGCAACCTAAGGGTTAATCCTCTGCATTGAGTAAAAAGGCTGTTTGATCCTGTCTTTTCTGCTCCTCCTCTTGTTCAAATGCCCATGTCTTATCTCCTGATAAAATAGACTGAACCCGTAGCCATTCTGCACATGCTCAGTTTGGTGTGTATTGCTAGAGAGTTTTTTTTTTTTTTTCTTGGGAGAGTTCATGTGATCAGCACAGGGCCAATCAGCACTGTCCAAACAGAGGTCAGGGGTTTTGCATCCTCCTAGAGCTGAAAGAAAACTCTTCCTACAAGTTTTAACATGTTCTCTGCTGAACACAGATAGACGTCACAAGACTGCTCTAACTGCTGATTAGAAAAGGTATTTAGCCATTTATATTTACTAACATAATTGCACTTCCATGTTGTGTGTACTGTGGGAGACCAGATATAGTGAATGCAGGATCCTGGTTTTAGTAACACTTTAAAGCAGTATTAAACCCAAATGCAAACATTTATTATATTGCAACTTACCAGTTCTTAGTTGTCATGGCGGTATTAGTTTCCTTTTTAGGCTTTCTTCTATTTTCATCTGGTAATTCAGCCAGCAACTCTGCTGTTTTCAGAATTTTAAGCTGTCCAGCAGAATGTATCAGTTTACATGAATGAGACAATCCATTTACCACCGACATGGGTTATTAAAATGATGTAAAACCTTTATTCCAACAGCAAAAAAAAATGATGTAACTGATTATAAAGTGTGAGCTGGAGTTTGGCTTCAATTTGTACTTCACATTCAAATCTGCTAATACATTTAACATTCCCATCCCCCCAGATTGACATTGCTGTTGTCTACTGTGTCTTGTGCTCATTCCTCCAAAGTCGTGTCTTACTAGTACAGGACGTGTGTTAATGGCCAGATCACCAGGTGAAAACAGAGGGGGGGAAAGCCAAAGAAAACTGATGCAGCTGCCACATTTAATGATTGGTATGCTGCAATATAATACATTTTCGATTTTAGGGTTAATATCACTTTAACACCTTCCCGCCCAGCCTATAGCAGATTGGAGGCCGGGTGAGACACTCCTCCTTTTGAGTGGGCATCATATGACATCCTGTCAGAAGGTGCCGTTTACACGGCCGCGGGTCCGTGATCTGTCACCGGCTGTGTCTACAGGCTGTGTCAATAGCCCATTGCCCGTGTCATGTGACCACTGTGACCAATCACAGCAGATCACATGACAATTGTATACAACGGATGGCTTCCTTTTATGCCAACCATTGTATGCAATTGTGTTATTAGCTGTGATTGGTCACATGGTACAGACAGGGCCAATCAAAGCCCATTTGTATCATGTGAAGAGCTTTGCCCAATCACAGCTAATCACAACAAAATACTGAATTAATTGGTTTCATTCAGTAACAATGGTTGAAAATATCAATGAAATACATTAGTATTAGCATTCATCACATGTAAAAAAAAAAATCCTGATCACTTGCCCAAGTAGTTCAGTGTCACTATGGTAAACACTGTTTTGCTCTGGGCACAGTGTGTTGAAAATAAAAAAATGTAAGAAAAAAGAAAAATTTAATTATTATTACTATTTTTATTTTTTTTACATACTGTCACCAGTCAGTTTCCCTCATCACTGCAAACCAATTATATAATAACGCTGTACTGGACTGCTAACAATATGTAGAAAACAAAATTGGGAATTTTCTTTTTAATTTCTTCATTTTTCAAAAAATGGAGCCAAAAAAAAAAAACTTCAAAAGACTCAATATGCCTCTTATGAAATACCTTGGACTGACTATTTTCCAAAAATGGGTAATTTCAGGGGTATTTGTACTATCCTGGCGTTTTCGAGCCTCAAGACATGAGATTGGCTGTCAGTACATTAATTGATCGATTGTCAGATATATACTGCTCAAAGAAAATGAAAGGAAGACTTTGAAAACACATCATATCTCAATGGGGAAAATATAATTCTGGATATCTATACTGATATGGACTGGGTAATGTGTTTGGAACATAAGGATGACCTTTGATGGAAATGAAAATTATCAACCTACAGAGGACTGATATCAAAGACACTCTGAAAATCAAAGTGAAAAAATTATGCAGCAGACTAGCCCATTTTGCTTAAATTTCATTGCAGCAACTCAAAATGGTACTCAGTACTTTGTATGGCCCCCACGTACTTGTATGCATGCCTGACAATGTTGGGGCATGCACCTAATCAGATGACGGATGGTGTCCTGGGGTATTCCCTCCCAGATCTTGACCAGGGCATCACTGAGTCTGAGGTGCAACCTGGTGGCATCGGATATTCCAGAGGTGTTCTATTGGATTTAGGTCAAGTGAGTGTGGGGGCCATTCAATGGTATCAATTCCTTCATCCTCCAGGAACTGCCTGCATACTCTCGCCACATGAATCCGGGCATTGTCATGCACCAGGAGGAACCGAGGACCCACTGCACCAGTGTAGGGTCTGACAATGGGTCCAAGGATTTCATCTCGATACCTAATGGCAGTCAGGGTGCCATTATCTAGCCCAGCAATGGGCAAACTACGGCCCACGGGCCGTATACGGCCCGCGGGCCGTATACGGCCCGGCGGACCTTTTAATCCGGCCCGCGGAGCTAGGCTCCCGCTAGGCTCCTCTCACAGTCCGCCCTGAAGACCGATGTAGCATGAAAATCTGTCTCCTATGAGGATCTGTCCCCCTCGACGTATCTGCGCATGTGCCGGAGATCGCCGATCGGCTGCTAATGCCTGAAACTGGCACATGCACAGATACGTCGAGGGGGACAGATCCTCATAGGAGACAGATTTTCATGCTACACCGGAGCGGCGCGGGAACACGGCGAGAGGAACACGCGGAGCAAAGGTAAGTGAATTGACACAGGGGGGACTTGGGGACTTAATATGGGGGATGAATTACTATGGGGAATTAATTACTATAGGGGGGATGAATTACTATATGGGGGATGAATTAATATGGGGAATGAATTACTATATATGGGGGATGAATTACTATATGGGGGATTAATTACTATGGGGGATGAATTACTATATGGGGGATGAATTACTATGGGGGATGAATTACTATATGGGGGATGAATTACTATATGGGGGATGAATTACTATGGGGGATGAATTACTATGGGGGATGAATTACTATGGGGAATGAATTACTATAGGGGGGATGAATTACTATAGGGGGGATGAATTACTATATGGGGGATGAATTACTATATGGGGGATGAATTACTATGGGGGATGAATTACTATATGGGGGATGAATTACTATATGGGGGATGAATTACTATGGGGGATGAATTACTATGGGGAATTAATTACTATAGGGGGGATGAATTACTATATGGGGGATGAATTACTATATGGGGGATTAATTACTATGGGGGATGAATTTACTATATGGGGGATGAATTACTATGAGGGATGAATTACTATATGGGGGATGAATTACTATGAGGGATGAATTACTATATGGGGGATGAATTACTATGGGGGATGAATTACTATGGGGGATGAATTACTATATGGGGGATGAATTACTATGGGGGATGAATTACTATGGGGGATGAATTACTATATGGGGGATGAATTACTATGGGGGGATGAATTACTATATGGGGGATGAATTACTATATGGGGGATGAATTACTATGAAGGATGAATTACTATATGGGGGATGAATTACTATGGGGGATGAATTACTATATGGGGGATGAATTACTATGGGGGATGAATTACTATGGGGGATGAATTACTATATGGGGGATGAATTACTATGGGGGATGAATTACTATGGGGGATGAATTACTATATGGGGGATTAATTACTATGCTTACTATGGGGGAATATTACTATACTTACTATGGATGACACATACACATCATTCATCTACTCTTGGTCCGGCCCCCGGGTCCAATATATGAACCCATTGCGGCCCTCAAGTCAAAAAGTTTGCCCACCCCTGATCTAGCCTGTAGAGGTCTGTGCGTCCCTCCATGGATATGTCTCCCCAGACCATCACCACCAAAACGGTCATGCTGAACGATGTTAAAGGCAGCATAATGTTCTCCATGGCTTTTCCAGGCTCTTTCATGTCTCTCAAATGTGCTCAGGGTGAACCTGCTCTCATCTGTGAAAAGCACAGGGCACCAGTGGTGGACCTGCCATTTCTGGTGTTCAAAGGAAAATGCTGATCAAGCTCAATGGTGCCAGGCAGTGAACACAGGGCCCACTAGTGAAAGCCGGGCCCTCAGGCCACCCTCATAAAGTCTGTTGCTAATTGTTTGGTCAGAGACATTCACACCAGTGGCCTGCTGGAGGTCAGTTTGTAGGGCTCTGGCAGTCTTCATCCTGTTCCTCCTTGCACAAAGGAGCAGATACCGGTCCTGCTGATGGGTTAATGACCTTCTACAGCCCTGTCCAGCTCTCCTAGAGTAACTGCCTGTCTCCTGGAATCTTCTCTATGCTCTTGAGACTGTGCTGGGAGACACAGCAAACCTTCTGGCAATGGTACGTATTAATGTGCCATCCTGGAGGAGTTGGACTGCCTGTGCAACCTCTGTAGGGTCCAGGTATTGCCTCATGCTACCAGTACTGACACTGACCCTAGCCAAATGCAAAACTAGTGAAAACAGTGAGAAAAGATGTGTAGGGAAAAAATGTCAGTGGCCTCCATCTGTAAAACCATTCCTATTTTGGGGTCATCTCATTGTTGCCAATCTAGTGCACCTGTTGTTAATTTAATTAACACCAAAGTATCTGAAACTGATTAACAACCCCCTCTGATACTTACCTGACTAGATCAATATCCCAAGAGTTTAATTGACGTGATGCTATACTTTAAATAAAAAGTGTTCCTTAATTTTTATTCAGCAGTGTATATTCCATGGTTTGTGGACTCTATAACTTTCCTACAGACTAAATAATATACACAAATTTGGGGTATTTTCACCAAAGAAATGTAGCAGAATACATTTGACCTAAATTTATAAAGAAAGGCTATT